GATCGTGTACATCTTTCCTCCATCTTTGGCGACTTTGTTTACAATTACAGTATTAAACAGTTAATAAGCTCTGAAACACCAGGAGGCTATTTATAACAATAACAACAGTTGACTGGGTAGTTTTCATGCTTGTTTACTGTTTAATAAATGTAAACAAAGCCGTCAAAGATTGAGGAAAGATGTACACATTCGTAAGTACTTGCGTAACTGCTTTGTGAATCTGGCCCCAGCTGTATACAGTATTCACTTTGTGGATATACTTCTTACTACTATTCTTCTTCTTTGTGCGTCTGACAGGTTCTTGCATCTCTTTATTATTGCTTTATCCATCAGTTCTAGTTAATAGGAGCTGTTCTCTTTATCAACAAAACATTCTTTTTTTTTTTAAATATTCATCTAAAATCAATTTCTGAAAATATTTTTATGAAAGTTTCACAAAGTTGAACCCTGAGATTTGTTTAACATTTTAAAGTAATTTTTACATAATTCAAATATTTTTTTAATTATACCCTCTTCAATGTAGCTTTGCGCAGTTTAAGGGTTAACTACTCTGACACTGAAAAAATCTTTCTAATATCTCTGTGGCTCACTTGGGTACTACGTTTCCACATGTGTCCCGTTGTTAGTGTTCCTTCCGTGCTAAATAGTTTGTCTTTGTCCACGCTATTAATTCCCGAGAATTTTGAATGTGGCTATCATGTCTCCCCTTACTTTTCTGTCTTCCAGGGACGCGAGATTTAGCTCCCGCAGCCTTTCCGCGTAGCTCATACCTCTCAGTTCTGGGACTAGTCTAGTGGCATACCTCTGAATCTTTAACTTTGTCTTATGTTTAACTAGGCATGGACTTCAGGCTGGAGCTCCAGGATTGGTCTGACATAAGTGGTATACAAGATCCTGCACAATTCCTTACACAAGTTTCTTTACATTAGTGAGTAGTATAGTGTGAGAGGAGCAGAGTGGGGGGCATTATACAGTATCTGATTTTTGGGAGTATACCAACAGTTTTAGATTTTTGGTGGGTATGTGAGCAGTAAAGTTAAGTCTCTTGTCTATGAATAGTTCAGGGAACTTTCCTTTAATTTTACCATCAATGTTTATATTGTCTAATTGAAGGTGTATTTGGTTCAACAATTTGTCACAAAATAAAATGTAGTAGGTCTTTTTTTAAAGTTTTGTGAGTTTGTTGGTTGACATCCATGGGTGGACTTCTCGGGGGGCTTGGGGAAGCCACCAGTACCTGGTTGATACCTGGTTGATGGGGTTCTGGGAGTTCTTCTACTCCCCAAGCCCGGCCCGGGGCCAGACATTTGCAGGATAACCTTCTTGAGATTTTCTCGAGATGATTTCGGGGCTTTAGTGTCCCCGCGGTCCGGTCCTCAACCAGGCCTCCATTTTTGTTACACCCCCCAGGAAGCAGCCCGTAACAGCTGACTAACAACCGGGTACCTATTTACTGCTAGGTAACAGGGGCTTCAGGGTGAAAGAAACTCTGCCCATTGCTTCTCGCCGGCGCCCGGGATTGAACCCGGGACTACAGGATCACGCGTCCAGTGTTCTGTCTGCTCAGCCGCTGGCTCCCCTTCAGCAAAGGCCATGTATGCTACATCCACCAGAAGTCTGAGTAACTGGAAACCGTTAGGGATGTACAAGGATGTAGAACCTACTGGGCTCTTATCATATCTACACTTGAAACTGTGTATGGAGTCAGCCTCCACCACATCACTGCCTAATGCATTCCACCTGCTAACTACTCTGACACTGAAAAAGTTCTTTCTGATGGATGGGTGTACAGGGGGTGTATGGGTGTACAGGGGGTGTATGGGTGTACAGGGGGTGTATGGGTGTACAGGGGTGTATGGGTGTACAGGGGGTGTATGGGTGTACAGGGGTGTATGGGTGTACAGGGGTGTATGGGTGTACAGGGGGTGTATGGGTGTACAGGGGTGTATGGGTGTACAGGGGTGTATGGGTGTACAGGGGTGTATGGGTGTACAGGGGTGTATGGGTGTACAGGGGTGTGTATGGGTGTACAGGGGTGTGTATGGGTGTACAGGGGGGTGTATGGGTGTACAGGGGGTGTATGGGTATACAGGGGGTGTATGGGTGTACAGGGGTGTATGGGTGTACAGGGGGTGTATGGGTGTACAGGGGGTGTATGGGTGTACAGGGGGTGTATGGGTGTACAGGGGGTGTATGGGTGTACAGGGGGTGTATGGGTGTACAGGGGGTGTATGGGTGTACAGGGGGGTGTATGGGTGTACAGGGGGTGTATGGGTGTACAGGGGGTGTATGGGTGTACAGGGGGTGTATGGGTGTACAGGGGGGTGTATGGGTGTACAGGGGGGTGTATGGGTGTACAGGGGGGGTATGGGTGTACAGGGGGGGTGGGTGTACAGGGGGGTGTATGGGTGTACAGGGGGGTGTATGGGTGTACAGGGGGGTGTATGGGTGTACAGGGGGGTGTATGGGTGTACAGGGGGGTGTATGGGTGTACAGGGGGTGTATGGGTGTACAGGGGGGTGTATGGGTGTACAGGGGGGTGTATGGGTGTACAGGGGGTGTATGGGTGTACAGGGGGGTGTATGGGTGTACAGGGGGGTGTATGGGTGTACAGGGGGGTGTATGGGTGTACAGGGGGGTGTATGGGTGTACAGGGGGTGTATGGGTGTACAGGGGGGTGTATGGGTGTACAGGGGGTGTATGGGTGAACAGGGGGTGTATGGGTGTACAGGGGGGTGTATGGGTGTACAGGGGGTGTATGGGTATACAGGGGGTGAATGGGTGTACAGGGGGTGTATGGGTGTACAGGGGGTGTATGGGTGTACAGGGGGTGTATGGGTGCACAGGGGTGTTTGGGTGCACAGGGGGTGTATGGGTGCACAGGGGGTGTATGGGTGCACAGGGGGTGTATGGGTGCACAGGGGGTGTATGGGTGCACAGGGGGTGTATGGGTGCACAGGGGTGTATGGGTGCACAGGGGGTGTATGGGTGCACAGGGGGTGTATGGGTGCACAGGGGGTGTATGGGTGCACAGGGGGTGTATGGGTGCACAGGGGGTGAATGGGTGCACAGGGGGGTGTATGGGTGCACAGGGGGTGTATGGGTGTACAGGGGGGTGTATGGGTATACAGGGGTGAATGGTGTACAGGGGGTGTATGGGTGCACAGGGGGGTGTATGGGTGCACAGGGGGTGTATGGGTGCACAGGGGGTGTATGGGTGCACAGGGGGTGTATGGGTGTACAGGGGGGTGTATGGGTGCACAGGGGGTGTATGGGTGTACAGGGGGGTGTATGGGTGCACAGGGGGTGTATGGGTGCACAGGGGGGTGTATGGGTGTACAGGGGGGTGTATGGGTGTACAGGGGGTGTATGGGTGTACAGGGGGTGTATGGGTGAACAGGGGGGTGTATGGGTGTACAGGGGGGTGTATGGGTGCACAGGGGGGTGTATGGGTGCACAGGGGGTGTATGGGTGCACAGGGGGTGTATGGGTATACAGGGGGGTGTATGGGTGTACAGGGGGTGTATGGGTGTACAGGGGGGTGTATGGGTGTACAGGGGGGTGTATGGGTGTACAGGGGGTGTATGGGTGTACAGGGGGTGTATGGGTGAACAGGGGGGTGTATGGGTGTACAGGGGGGTGTATGGGTGTACAGGGGGTGTATGGGTATACAGGGGGTGTATGGGTATACAGGGGGTGTATGGGTATACAGGGGGTGTATGGGTATACAGGGGGTGTATGGGTATACAGGGGGTGTATGGGTATACAGGGGGTGTATGGGTGCACAGGGGGTGTATGGGTATACAGGGGTGTATGGGTATACAGGGGGTGTATGGGTATACAGGGGGTGTATGGGTATACAGGGGGTGTATGGGTATACAGGGAGTGTATGGGTATACAGGGGGTGTATGGGTGTACAGGGGTGTATGGGTGTACAGGGGTGTATGGGTGTACAGATGACACAGGTGGTACAGGTGACACAGGTGGTACAGGTGGGTACAGGTGTACAGGTGACACAGGTGGTACAGGTGACACAGGTGGGTACAGGTGTACATGTGCAACCCATTCTCGCACTTGCTTATAGTCAATATTGGCTTATTTAATAAGTGCATATGTGACATACTAATTGATTGTGAATATTTTAGTTTACCTTGAAAAGCTTCATAGAAAACACCGACCTCACCTAACCACTTTAGTATGTTAAGATAAGCATATTATTGCTTCTTAGGTTAAGTAATAATTGTAAATAAGAAGCAATAAGATGCTTATCTTAACATACTAAAAAGGTTAGGTGAGGTCGGTGTTTTCTATGAAGCTTTTCAAGGTAAACTAAAATATTCACAATCAATTAGTATGTCACATATGCATTTATTAAATAAGCCAATATTGACTGAAAGCAAGTGCGAGAACGGGTTGACATGTGGCACAGGTGGTACACGTGGCACAGGTGTACAGGTGTACAGGTGACACAGGTGGCACAGGTGTACATGTGGCACAGGTAGGTACAGGTGTATAAATGGCACAGGTGTACAAGTGGGTACAGGTGGGCACAGGTATACAGGTGGGCACAGGTGTACAGATGGGCACAGGTGTACAGATGGGCACAGGTGTACAGATGGGCACAGGTGTACAGATGACACAGGTGTACAGATGCCACAGATGGGCACAGGTGTACAGATGACACAGGTAATCACAGGTGTACAGGTGGGCACAGGTGTACAAGTGGGTACAGGTGGGCACAGGTGTACAGGTGGGCACAGGTGTACATGTGGGTACAGGTGGGCACAGGTGTACAAGTGGGTACAGGTGGGCACAGGTGTACAGATGACACAGATGGACACAGGTGTACAGGTGGGCACAGGTGTACAGGTGGGCACAGGTGTACAAGTGGGTACAGGTGGACACAGGTGTACAGATGACACAGATGGACACAGGTGTACAGGTGGGCACAGGTGTATAGGGAGGCGGCCAGGAGATCACAGGAACCCCGTCCCACTCACCAGGTCTCGTCATCAGAGATATTAGACTCGTCCAGCCCTATGGGATCCATGGCGTCCAGGTTAGTGGCGTCCAGGTGGCGCTTGGGCGTGCCGGGCGCCGCCGGAGAGAGGCCGCCCACGCCGCCCACAGGAGACCCACTACCACCACCTTCCTTCATCAACTGCTGCCTCTCACACCGCAGCTCCTCATTCTGGATCTCCAGCTCCTTCACTAAGGCCTGCAGCTTCTTCACCTCCGCCTCCGTGTCCACAGCTTCCAGCCTATTGTCCATAATAAGGCTCATCTTGCTGCCTCGCACCTGGCTACATTAAACACGGGTTAAGGGCGGCAGCTGTCGCGTGACACATAGCGTTTTTAATAACACCCGCCTCCTCCTCCCCGACGGAACTGATTTCACTGTCAGGGGGGGAAAAGAACAACAGATCGGGCTGCCATCTGTCGGCGGCGGCTGCCACTATCACCTCCCCCCGAGCAGGGCTCCGTCCCTTTCACCTGCAGCAGGAGAGGAGGGGGACTGTGGGGAAACATACGTGTCTTCAATGGGGAGTTTGAGGGGGGTTTTTAAAGGGGGTGGGGGTTATAGGGGGGGGGTTCAGTCATCTCAGATTGATATTTTGTGTGTATATGTTCCGTATATAGAAGTATATATATATATATATATATATATATATATAATATATATATATATATATATATATATATATATATTATATATATATATATATATATATATATATATATATATATATATATATATATATATATATATATATATATATATATATATATATATATATACACAATTGGTGTGTATGTTAATTAACAAACTGTAACGTATGACTCATCCATGGTGTAGCTTGCTCAACTTAACTAATTTGGGAATATAATATATATTATATATATATAATATATATATATATATATATATATATATATATATATATATATATGTACTATTTTATCTCTCATTTTTGATAGGGTGGGTTGGGTTTGATTTGGCTGGATTGACTTGGGTTAGGCTGGCATATGGGTTGGATTAGGTTAGGTTATGTTAGGTTGAAATTCAATGCACGTCTTATCAACATTGGGCTTAAGACTGACCACAAGTACAGTTTCTATGTTTTTTTTTTGTATTTATATACTGTATATACAAGAGTTCTTAGTCTTGTATGGCCACCAGCATGCTCAACTTGGTCGAGTCCCACTATTATTTTATAAGTGGTGATTGTAATGCCTCTTTTTCTTCTATAGCGTATTTAACGCCTCTAGCCTTTCTTCGTAACTCTTGTTTTTAAGGTCTGAAAGCCATTTTGTAGCATGCCTTTGCACCTTTTCCACTTGATTAATATGCTTCTTGAGATATGGGCACCATACAACTGCTGCAAATTCCAATTTTGCTTTCACAATTCATGAATACTTTCTTTAGCATTTCACTATCAAAAAAAAAAAAAAAAAAAAAAAAAAAAAAAAAGAGATTTCTGACTGCTTGGGCTTGACCTGGCAACCTGTGTGTGTACATTCACAGGCTTCCTGTCCCCAAGTTTCAATTTCACGCTTGGTTTCAATTTCACCTTCAGTTTCCTACCTTGTGCTTCAAACTCACACTACATCTTGTGCTACCCACTCCCCTAATATTAGTACTGTATACTTCAGATACACATTATCACCAGTGTAATCACCTGTCAGTTTATACTGTAGTTATATGTTGATATCAAATTTTGCTTCAATGTACCTCTTCATCTTACCTGATATGTTAGATTAAGGACCTGCCCGAAACATTATGCGTGTTAGTGGCTTTGCAAGAATGCAAAAATACGAATATTATACTGTATGCTCTCACAAATCCATTGCACCTTCATGTAAATAAAATAAATAAAAAATAAATAAAAATATCTTAAGAATTCCTAACATTTAGTATATGGAAGAACGTGCAAGAGTCCTTTTATTGTCCAAGGGATAAAGATTTTTGTTGGCTTCTGAATGCCTCAATGTTACAGTAATAAGTGTAGCATACTAAAAATCCATCAAATATATAAAATAGCTTTTCTCAATATTTCAAATTTTTTGTATTCTCTACCACAGAAAGAACCTTTAAAGGTGATACAAAAAATATAAGCTGATATGTTTCTGAATACGTATATATTACCATTACACTGCTTTAAGGGTTATTGAAAGGGTAATCAAATAAATTATCATTATTCATTTTAATATCACAAAGTGCAATGAAAATCATCAAACATAAATTTCTAAACAATCAAGTTTTTAGGATCCAGTCAGCCCAAACAATTCTGAATAAATGTACAGTATTCCAATCCTCTTAAATTATTCAAAAATGAGGACAAATTCATTAAGAACATCAAACATTTTGGTTCTACGGTAAAATAGCATAAAAGATTAGTTGTAACAAACATTGTTAAATGAATGCATGAAAAACTATACAATACTATGAATCTTTAATAACCTCAACTGGTTCAACTACAGCTTACTGTGCTGGTCAAAATCAAACGATTCTTAAATAATCTCAAGCATAATAGTCAACAGTATAGCAAATCAATTCATACCATATGAGACTGTAAGAAACTTTCACAAAGTCCGACATTCGTTCCATAGAAAATAATACACAGCCAAATTTATATCTGGCTTCAGCACACACTTTACACCTGCACATCTGGGTTAAATATTTATATCCTATGTACAAAAAATGCTTTCATCCTTAGCCTCACACATGAAGGCATCATTAAGAGCCTGATTGCTTCAGATGGAAGGGAAGGGTGGGGTTAGGGGGATTGGGGGGGGGATCTAATTAGACTTTTGAATGTTTCTTAGTAGTGCAACAGACCAATCCCATAAACATGAAAGAAATCACCAATACACAAGGTATGGAATGTCATTGATGAAAATAAATAAGAATGTATGTAATTTTCATGTTTGCTTATGCTACGTGCACACTCGAGAAAGACAAAAAGAGCAATGGTAGTAAACCAAACGTTAAATTAAAACTACAATATTGACTAAGTTAATGCATATCTAAAATTTAATATTAAGATCAATATAACTTTATAATGGTCTTCAAGAACTCCCAAGTACTTGTTCTGCAGCTTTACTATTAACAAAATTGACAGAATATCTCAAAATACATTTAAGCTGCATTTACCGTATACAGTGGTACCTCGGGTTACGAACGTCCCTGTTTACGAACTTTTCGAGTTACAAGCTCGATTTGTTCGGAAAATTTGAATCGGGATACGAGTTTGTTGATAAGCGTACGGCCATGCTTGCGTGTGATGGCACGGCAATCGCACCTCAGTTTACCAGTGCCTCACGCCCAGTGACTATCCCGCCTGAATTCTTCACAAGAATTTAAAAAATTTTGTTGGATTTTTGTCTATTTGAGCATAGAAGTTGTTATTATATATCTCGCCATGGATCCCAAGAAAGCCAGTGGTAAGGTTCAAGGCAAAAAATCACATGTGAGAATGACCATAGAGAAAAAACAAGAGATCATTCATAAACATGAAAATGGTACTCGTGTTGTTGAACTAGCTAGGCAGTAAAACAAATCTTTATGGGAGGAAGAGGTGACAGTAGAGAATGTCCCATCCTCATTAATTAAGAAAATGTGTGCAATATAGGAAGGACTACAAAGTTTTGCAAAAAAGAATCACCCAGATAAAACTGTAGTAGGCAGTTGCATTTATCTTTTTAATGACAATGTGATGCCTCACTACAGACAAGTGTTGCAAAGAAGGGAAAAACAATCTTCAATGGAATGTTTCCTTGTGAGAAAAGTGAGAAAATCAAGCAGTGAGCCACAACCAGGACTTAGTGGTATGCAGGCAAAATGTGCCAGAGAGTGCACTCCAGAGAAATCTTCACTGCCTGATGTTATAATGGAAGGGGACTCCCCTTCCAAACAGTAACACCTCTCCTCCTCCTCCCCCCTCCTCACCATCTTCCATATGCCAACAGGAGTCATCAGCAAAGGTAATAACTTGAGCATACCTTTGTAGTGAAGATTTGGGTGAATTAGATATAAAATTTACTCTAAAGTGAAATTTTTGGGGAGTCGGGCACGGATTAATTCATTTACCATTATTTCTTACGGGGAAATTCGCTTCGGTTTACGAATTTTCGGGTTACGAACCGTCTCCAAGAACAGATTAAATTCTTAAACCGAGGTACCCCTGTATATAACACTGTTTTCCACAATGTTTGATCTTTAAGCATGCAAACAAAATAGTCATTAAAATTTAATTTACAAATTGCATCCTAAAAAAATAATGCCTACAATGTAAAAATTAGTTACTTTTCATCATTTAAAAAAAAAAAAGTGTAATTTTTAGCCACATACTGAATTAAATTTGACCCCACTGGTAGACTCTAGTTTTACAGTTTATTTTGAATTTATATACTTCTCATCTGAGAAGAATAGATGACAAGTTCTACAATATAGGCCTGAAACACCTGTTATTCAATTTTGTTCACTTTAGAATGAATCACAAATCAAATAAAAATAACCATTTGGCTACCAGTGAAGTGGATTGTGGATTAAGTGGATTATTAATCCACTTAACACAATTAAGTGGATTGGATTGTGTTAAGTGGATTATTGTGGATTCTGAACAGAGCTGTTAACACCAAGCCAAGCTTGGAGTACGACTAGCTTTTCGGCAAACACAAAGACAGTTAAAACACAAATACTGCTCAAAGAACCATTACAACCAGTGACAAGTACTGTACAACACATTAGAAAAGCCTTAACGAAAATCTCATACACACTGTTATATCTAATGTCCAGAAAAAGTCCAAAATATAACTACTGTACTATTTATTTAGACGACTTCTCTTTTTAATAGATGTTGAATGCCAGAGGGCTAAGCCTAATTTCATGCTTGCAGTTTTTTGTATAAAATGTTTACAGAATTTATATTTTTTTACGAGTTTCTGCTACAGTTATTATGAACAGGCATAAATTGACAAGATTCCTTGAGGACAAGCAGCCATATGAAGCAGACAACAATATAAACCAACACACACAAAAATATTTTAAATCCTCTTCACTGATGTAGGTTTACAGTGAATATATTGTTTCTTCTCACCATGGAATATTGTTTACGTTGACTGTGTTGCAGCAAAAATGTTACAGAAACAAATTACCTTCTCAGAGCGGAGAATAATTGTGATATTTTGATTTTACTCATGGGCTTCTGTTCATTGACATCAGGTAGTTATTTTTGCCTTCTATATGCTACATAGTCTTCCGGACTTGATGCCTTCCTTTTATAATTAATCAGTGCTTGCTTGCTTGCTTCTGCCACCTGTGTCACTGCTTAAGCAAACCCATCAACAACTGATATTAGTTAACATTTATGAGACTAAAATAATATATGAAATAATTACTTAAAAAGTAACATACAGTATTACACAAAATAAAAATGCCTTAGATTACTAATAATGCTATTATAGAAACTGTTTGCTGCTACTTACATGCAGGATGAGAAAATTAAATGAAAATAGGACAGTATACAGTATTTTCAGGAGGGTTTCAATCCCCCATCTCTTTTGAGTTATTGTCATTGTTACCCATCGGCAGTTACGTGAATAGCATCACATTAGTGCTCAGCTGTTTAAGTTTTGTGTGTGTGTTTTGCTACTGTTGTTGCTATTAGTAATAGACAAAAGGTTACTGTTGTGGCTGTAGACTATAGTACACCAAGTTTATGAATGATGTTTTGCAGATTTAAAATTGTGATCCTGGAAGGTGAAATAAATTTAGTGAAGCTTTGCTATGAGCAATACTCATTACTGTCCTCTCGCTGTGGCTGACACGCTGACACACAAGAAAGTTTTGTAACGACTCGATTTACTTTGATTACTGGGTGCTACAAAGAACCGATGTAACACCTCAAAGCCGGTAAATTATTCAGAAGGATTATGATTTAAAACTTCCATTTATAAAGATCACAAAACTAACATTTATTTTTTTATAATTAACATAAAAATGAATGCCATATAAAATCTTTTACAGAGATTAATTACTCTCATAGCAATCAATGATCATCTCAATACTGCAGGGATCTCTGAGATATGAACCTCAGACTTACAAACCACATACAGTACTGATAATTCAGTTCTCACCTTTCACAGCTCCTCCCACCTGTCACAATCACAAGAAGAAAAGGTGCCAATGAGCTCTCACCAATAGCATAAAAATGTCACTGTCTATTTATCTGTGTTTGTCATTACAGTATGTGTGTGGATTTTGGTTTCTGTCTGTGACACTTTGTCCGTATGCAAGTGTCACTGTCTCGCTTCTCTCAAAATTATATAAAAATACAGCATTCTCTGAATCAATGCATGTGCCAGCTACCCTTGGGGTAACACACCCACACACCTAGCACTCACTGCCCCCTCCCACACCCCACTTTGCACATACTGCGCCACACACACAGCAGTCGAGTAAGTCTAAAAAATTATTCCAGCAAGAATATACACAAATTTTGTCAAAGACAGTCAGATAGACATTGGTAGGCAGGTTGGATAAGTGGATAATCAACACTAGATGTCGTAAGATAAATTTATTGCCTCACAGGAGAGCCATAGTGCATTGGTCCAGGATCTGTACAGAGTGCACTGAATCAGCATGCCAGCCACCCTCTGGCTATACAGTGGTTGTAGGCAGCCAGCCAGTCATATAGTCAACAAATCAGTAATTATTAATCATGTACTGTACTTTGTAATAGTAGTTGGGACAAATCAACATTAATTTTGCTAAAACATACCGACACAGGTCGTTTTGAAACCTAACTCCTGTTTATAAAATTGTATCAACTGGAAAGTGTTTTCCAAATGACTTACGAAGACAAATTTGAAACGCATACCATTCATGATAATTCTCTGCACTGTTTTAAAATCCAGAAGTGAAACCAGCACCATTGCCATCATTTATTAACCAGAGGATCATCATCAAGCATATTCATCCTCACAAAAGAATACTTAATTTCAATGAGTTCACTTTCTGCAGCAAACAGTAACCTCTTGAATATACTGTACCTGGTATATATATACTGACCAATTTGATGAGAACCTACAGCTATATAACAAATTGGTCATAATATGCACATTTATAGGTATGATTCTTTAAACAAATGCAAATATGTGTAGGAAACTTCAACTGCAAAGATTACCATTTAATGAGTTTGATGCTTGCATATAGCACAGTGGATAATGAGATTGAAGTCTGTATTTCCCATAAAAAGTTAAAGTAGACAATGGGACTTTTAGTCAATCTTGACTGCTCCATATATATTCCTAATAAAAAGATATGCTGCATAAAATCCAATGGTTCCAGTAAGTAACCAGAATGTCATGACCATAATTGTTGTATAGCCAAAATAGAGCAAGAGAGGAACAAACTCTGTAATCTCAAGCTTAGTGGTTAGGTAAAAGACAGAGTAGGCAGCAACATACACAGCTGACCCTCCAGAAGTGATGAGGCTCCGCCACCACCAATGATAATCTTCACCACACAGCTGGAAGTACACCATCACTACGCTGATCTGACCACAAGAGATGACAAGGATCAAGAAAACCAGGAACAAGAACCCAAATAAGTAGTAAAATTGATTCTCCCAAATTGCTGATAAAATGAAGAACAACTCAATAAACATGGCTCCAAATGGCAGAACTCCTGCCATAAGCAGGCACAACATTGGATGCATGTACCAAACTTGCTCCGGTACTTGACGTGGTATCTGATTGGTGCGAACAGGGTGCTCATAAGGATGCTTTCGGAACCCAAAGAAGTAGCCAATGAATGTAAGCGGCACCAAGATGCAAACCCACAGGGACAACAATGCTACCATGGTTGTGAATGGCACAGCCCCACTGGACTGTTTTCCCCAAATGAAGAAATTCAAGAAAAACCCTGTGATAAAAACAAACGCAGGATAAAGGGTGGCTGTCCAAAATGCTGCAGACTTCCATTGTTGACCACGAAGCGTACGATATAGGCGGCCAGACATGTAGCCGGCAACAAGACCCATGAAGACGTAGAGCAAGATGCCTGCAGTCATGAGAGCACCACGTGAAGCAGGCGACAACATTCCAAACATAGCCAGAATGATGGTAATGAGTGCCATGCAGAAGATTTGGACACCTGAGCCAACAAGAGCAGAGAAGAGCTTCGGGTAACGAGGAGGACGAAAAACATCACCGTGCACCAGCTTCCAGCCAGATTCCTCCAGAGTTTCTTCTAAACTTTCATCAGCATTGTATCTGAAAAAATAAATATAAATCATGGTATAGAAAGTCAATTTGCATATAAAATCTGGTACAAATACAAAGCCACATTTCACATGCCGTAAAACTGTAAATTGCTTAATGCAACAATTCACAGATCAGTAAAATGTTACTATTATTAACATTAATGCTTAAAAGATAAAAAGTAAATGATTTTATGCAGTTCATTCTCATGATCTGACAACCATTAAATTGGAAGTGGTTTTGCCTAAGCAGAAACTTTTGAAGCTAGACCATCAACTTAACCTACTGAGACTGATGCTCATTAGTCCAAAACACATCATTCATACTTTAACAGTAGACATTTATGAAGAGTAATTTGTGTTTAGCACCAACAGCTTATTAAATTCCTCATTTTTAATCTACTTCTTCCATAAACAAACTCCTTCCTTAATATTTAATGCACATATGCTGCAATATTCTGTAATGGTATGGACAGACCATAGCTCCTTCCCCCTTCCCTCATTCATCTCCCCTATCCTCCTGCCTTCGTCACTAACCATTTCACCCACCAATGTGTAGCTGGTGGACCTCCCCCTCCCACCAATGTGTAGCTGGTGGACCTCCCCCCTCCCACCAATGTGTAGCTGGTGGACCTCCCCCCTCCCACCAATGTGTAGCTGGTGGACCTCCCCCTCCCACCAATGTGTAGCTGGTGGACCTCCCCCTCCCACCAATGTGTAGCTGGTGGACCTCCCCCCCCTCCCACCATTGTGTAGCTGGTGGACCTCCCCCTCCCACCAATGTGTAGCTGGTGGACCTCCCCCTCCCACCAATGTGTAGCTAGTGGACCTCCCCCTCCCACCAATGTGTAGCTGGTGGACCTCTCCCCCCTCCCACCAATGTGTTGCTGGTGGACCTCCCCCCCTCCCACCAATGTGTAGCTGGTGGTCCTCCCCCCACCACCAATTTGCAGCTGGTGGTCCTCCCCCCCACCACCAATTTGCAGCTGGTGGCTCTTCCCCCCAACTTGCAGCTGGTGGTTCTCCCCCCCCCCACCAACTTGCAGCTGGTGGTTCCCCCCCCCCCACCAACTTGCAGCTGGTGGTTCTCCCCCCCCCCCACCAACTTGCAGCTGGTGGTTCTCCCCCCCCTCCACCAACTTGCAGCTGGTGGTTCTCCCCCCCCCCACCAACTTGCAGCTGGTGGTTCTCCCCCCCCCCCCACCAACTTGCAGCTGGTGGTTCTCCCCCCCACCAACTTGCAGCTGGTGGTTCTTTCCCCCACCAACTTGCAGCTGGTGGTTCTCCCCCCCCCCCACCAACTTGCAGCTGGTGGTTCTCCCCCCCCTTACCAACTTGCAGCTGGTGGTTCTCCCCCTCTTACCAACTTGCAGCTGGTGGTTCTCCCCCTCTTACCAACTTGCAGCTGGTGGTTCTCCCCCCCTTACCAACTTGCAGCTGGTGGTTTTTCCCCCCACCAACTTGCAGCTGGTGGTTCTCCCCCCCCCCACCAACTTGCAGCTGGTGGTTCTCCCCCCCCCACCAACTTGCAGCTGGTGGTTCTCCCCCCCACCAACTTGCAGCTGGTGGTTCTCTCCCCCCCCCACCAACTTGCAGCTGGTGGTTCTCTCCCCCCCCACCAACTTGCAGCTGGTGGTTCTCCCCCCCCCCACCAACTTGCAGCTGGTGGTTCTCCCCCCCCACCAACTTGCAGCTGGTGGTTCTCCCCCCCTTACCAACTTGCAGCTGGTGGTTCTCCCCCCCCCCCCACCAACTTGCAGCTGGTGGTTCTCCCCCCCACCAACTTGCAGCTGGTGGTTCTCCCCCCCCCCACCAACTTGCAGCTGGTGGTTCTCCCCCCCCCACCAACTTGCAGCTGGTGGTTCTCCCCCCCCACCAACTTGCAGCTGGTGGTTTCCCCCCCCCCACCAACTTGCAGCTGGTGGTTCCCCCCCCCCCACCAACTTGCAGCTGGTGGTTCTGCAGCCCCCCCCCCACCAACTTGCAGCTGGTTGTTCTCCCCCCCCCCACCAACTTGCAGCTGGTGGTTCTCCCCCCCCCCCCCCACCAACTTGCAGCCCCCCCCCCCACCAACTTGCAGCTGGTGGTTCTCCCCCCCCCACCAACTTGCAGCCTCCCCCCCCCCCACCAACTTGCAGCTGGTGGTTCTCTTGCAGCCTCCCCCCCCCCACCAACTTGCAGCTGGTGGTTCTCCCCCCCCCCACCAACTTGCCCCCCCCCCACCAACTTGCAGCTGGTGGTTCTCCCCCCCCCCACCAACTTGCAGCTGCAGTGGTGGTTCCCCCCCCCCACCAACTTGCAGCTGGTGGTTCCACCAACTTGCAGCCCCCCCCACCAACTTGCAGCTGGTGGTTCTCCCCCCCACCAACTTGCAGCTGGTGGTTCTCCCCCCCACCAACTTGCAGCTGGTGGTTCTCCCCCCCCCACCAACTTGCAGCTGGTGGTTCTCCCTCTACCAACTTGCAGCTGGTGGTTCTCCCCCCCCCCTCTACCAATTTGCAGCTGGTGGTTCTCCCCCCCCTCTACCAATTTGCAGCTGGTGTTTCTCCCCCACCAACTTGCAGCTGGTGGTTTCTCCCCCCACCAACTTTTCTCCCCCCCCACCAACTTGCAGCTGGTGGTTCTCCCCCCACCAACTTGCAGCTGGTGGTTCTCCCCCCACCAATTTGCAGCTGGTGGTTCTCCCCCCACCAATTTGCAGCTGGTGGTTCTCCCCCCACCAACTTGCAGCTGGTGGTTCTCCCCCCACCAACTTGCAGCTGGTGGTTCTCCCCCCACCAACTTGCAGCTGGTGGTTCTCCCCCCACCAACTTGCAGCTGGTGGTTCTCCCCCCACCAACTTGCAGCTGGTGCTCCCCCCCCCCCCACCAACTTGCAGCTTCCAAATTTCCCTACCTTTAATGGAAGCACTACTGCTATAATTTTTTACTTTCAATGGTTCAAAAATATAACCCTTTCCCAATGTCAATGGATGTATCATCAAGCAATATTTAACTTTGAATAGGCTTATTATTGATGTATCATTGCCAATTTTCCACTTTCAATTAGCTTATTAGTTCCCACTTTCAAATGGTGCATCATTACAATACATTTTTACACTTTAAATGGGTCAGAAGACATTTAGTCTCTAGTGTGGCAAAGAGAGAGAAATTGGATCCACAGCTAAGTTTCCTCCCCAATTACTGCAGTGGATACAGATCTAATGGATCCAAAATGTATTCTACTACACAATTTCACATTCTGGGTAACAACACGAGTGGCACCAACCATTTTTAGTGACAATGAATATCTGGCCCTGACTGGTAAATACAGTAGTACTGCATACTATTCATTTGACAGGACCATATTCGCTCTCCAGTTCAAAATTTTCTCATGTTCTTTAGCTTTTTCATTTACTTCACTTGCCTTTCCCTCATGAGGTGAGGTTTCACTTGTAATCATTATGACAGCTTGAATAGCATGGTCTGTTTTCTTGTGTTCAATTTTTTTTATACTCGATAGCATCAAATTTTCATTACCCTTGACTTGAATTAAAATGTCATATTTCAGCTGTTAGATAAAAACATTCTTTAGTAATGTACTACCTAGTTTGAGTGATATTGGGTGTGAAAATGGTAAACCACTAACCTGGCAATATCTCGCCGTAGTGTACGGATCATGATCATAGTCAGGATGCCTGACAAGAAGAACACCACTACCAAGGAATTAACAATCGAGAACCAGTGGATCTGGACATCAGTCATCTGGAGATAGATGTCCCAGCGTGAAGCCCACCGCACTTCAGATTTCTGCCATTCAACCGAGTACGTAAACAAGATGTGGGTGGTTCCAGTTGTTTTGACTTCCTGCGCATTGTGCTTGTCTGGGAAAGAGCAGTGGTTTTCTGTTCCCTTAAAACAGACACAAAAAAATTTAGTACACACATAATGAGAAATTATATAACGAATATCCAACATCATAGGATTTACACATCATTACAAATTACCTTTACTAGAACATTCAGAGCTATAAAAACTGGCATTTAACATTATATCAACAATATTATATCAACTGGCCAGGGAGGATTGACTGGGTGCCCAATCCTTAACTATAGCCTCTGTTCACCCCAGCAGTGAATGGGTACCTGGCTGTTAAACAATTTGGCGGGTCGTATTCCAGGAAAAATTAGGATTAAGGACCTGCCCAAAATGCTATGCGTGCTAGTGGGTTTACAAGAATGTAAGAACTCTTGGATATATAAATACAAAAATAAAAAATATACATTTTAAGCGTTACATTTAAATATAGGTACACAGCTTGAACAACAAATTTGTCTAAAATGATAAATATTTCAATACACAATTGCAGCATGTTGACGGCACTTGGCAACCATGTTGAAACAGAACGGTCCAAAAACTTGTCCAGTAAACAATTATTTTGATTGTTGCTATCTCTTCATTCACATTTGCTTCTAAACCACACAAGACACACTGAATACACAAAAGCCTTTCAGAATTAATACATTACTAAAATTATGATACATTTTCTGCAGATTGCACTGTAGAGTATCTGCCACATAATTCCAATCACTAGTCATCTTAGGCTTGTAATAATCTTTCATATAAATTTAAACTACTTAAAACAAAGATGTATTCTACATGTTTATACCACTAACTATATAAGAAATGTCTAAAATACCCATTTGTCTGGAAAATGACGATCGAGTTTCAAGGCGAACCTTGCACAAAAACCGAACACCACCAGTTTTTCTTGAACATTGTCATGGGGTTTGCATATGAAGTGTTCATTCTACTGTAATTTTATAGATCATCATCTTTTTTGAGCTGTGACATAAGACCTTACAAAAATTTCATTTAATAATAATAAAGTCTATTCAAAAGAATGTATGAACAAAGAACATATGAGTAATGTACAATTGTAGGGACAGGAGTTACACATACTAATGAAGCCACTATTACATAAAGCATTTGGGAGTGGATTAACATTTTAATCCACTAATAACATCAATATTGTTCTCAAGTGTCTGAAGACTGGCAGTTTTGCCCTAATAAGAATTACGATATGGGCCGGGTTTTGTCATATTTAGTTCCTCTGGCTGCCTGGAAACACTGATTTTTATTATTTGCATCGAAACAAAAATTTTATATAACTTTTAATGACGAAAATTAAGCCTAATGCTCGTTTTTTTTTTTAACTAAAAATTGTAGAATCTGGTAATTTTAGGTGCTTTGACCTAAACTTAATTAATAATACTTTTAACACTCAATAGCCACTAGATATAGTAACTGTGATGGAAACAATAAGCACACAACTCACCTTCAATTCGGCAAGATCAACACTGCTCTCCTCCACCTCGAACCTCACTACACGGAAATCCACATTGTCCTCTGTGTGGTAAGAAAGAATGAAGCGAAGGTGATTGTTTATGTACACCTTATCATTGTGGACATAGCCGAGCTTGTAGCCCCGCTCGTAGACCTGCTCGTGCGTCTCCATCATCATGAACTTGGTGGCACACGGAAGGTTGTCGACCAACAGGTGGACGTAGTACTCGTGCCTGATCCTATCTGCAACCTCCCTGGCCTGCTCCGCGCTCCACATTATGGGCTTCTGCAGCTCATGGCAGAGGAGCCTGCATGGGGTGTTGACGGCCATCTGCACTTCATACGGTGTGTTGACGATCCTGTCCCCCCTCAGCACCTCCCCCAGGTTCTCTGACTTGTATATGGTGCCATTACGAGGCCGACAGAACTGCAGAGAGTAATATTCATATGGCAGTTGAGTCTGCGAGCTTGTCATCTTCACAGCCTTCACCTCCACCGGGTCCTTCTTTTTAAACTCCACCGGAGCCACTCCGGGCACGTAAAACCCCCATGAAACCCTCGCCAGTAATGTCAAGATGATAATACTAAACCGCATTTTGTCGAGGAAAGGCTACGCTACGCGAGAAACATGAATAGAGGATCTCCCACACCACACAGCCCTCGGCCCCTGCCAACACAACAAACACCTCCGCCCTCGTCGCCACCCCCACTAGTATCGTTTAAACATTTTATACAAAAAAAATAAAAGGTGCGATTTTGGGTAATTTTTTTCGGTAGATGAAGGCGTTTATATATAAATTTTGTTGCCTTATTGTTTTTTCTCGTAATGGGATGCTTGTTAGGAAGATTGGGGAAAGGAAAATGATAGAGGTCAATACTCTTTAGTATATGATAGCGTGGCACCTATATTTTGATCACTCCACAACCCATACACGTCATATATTATTTATTGTGATATATAATTCAATATATTATCCTCTCTATATTTGTATATCTCGTTATATTGTATTTCAATACATTATTGAATGTTGTATTATATTACAAACAGGCCTCATAAATAGTCATCAAATAATATTTATAACCTATTTCATAACCAATTTTTAACCTATTATTTTATATATATACAAGTTTACCTGAGTTTACCTGAGAGCCACTAATACTAGTGGCCTCGATGAGGACAGGAAGCCTTCGGCTTGTCGAAGGAACCCCCCCCCCCCATTTGCTTTGATGATCTTTTCCAGCTGTACTTTAAAAGTTAACAGTTGTTTTGGTATTTACGGCTTCGGCGGGTAGGCTGTTCCATGGGTTAATAACCTTGTGGGTGAAAAAAGCATCTCCTGTCCTTGTTGAGCTTCAAACTGTTTTTCCTTGTTTGTATTACATCTGACCTTTCGAAGAAATTTTTTGGATCAAGTTCAAAATCATCCAAATTCTTCAGTATTTTTAAAACTTTAAATGAGATCCGACCTGTCATGCATTTGCAGTGTTGTTTTAACCCTGTGATCCTCAACCGTTCTTGATACGCGAGTTGACTAGCTCTGGAATGATTTTTGATGCCCGGTGTTGCACTGATAGATTCATTGATGACCACAATCGACTTGAGAATGGTCCAGGACGGACCGAAACGTCGTCGTCCCTTCACTTTCTAGTATGTAGTTTGGTCAACATGATTGATTAAGATTAGGCCACCCAAAAGGTGGCACGGGCATGATTAACCCATAAGTGGAGGAGTGTTGCACTTTCTCCAGAGCAGCTATGTACTTCTGAAGATGAGGTCTCCATTCTTGGATACGGTAGTTCAAATGGGGCGCTCCAGAGATTTATACAAATCTCTGTTCTAACATTCTTGTATACAATAATTGTATACAATTCTTGTATACAAATTATGTTTATATAAGAATGTATACCAGCTCTTATATTCTTGTAAAGCCCCTAGCACGCATAGCGTTTCGGGCAGGTCCTATAATCTTAATTTCCCTTTAATACGACCCACCAAATAGTTTAACATCCCATTCAATACTGTATGAATAGAAGAGCACAATTAAAAATTGACACCCAGTCAATCCTCCAGGGCGCGGATACGAACCCAGGCCAAATCGCTTGCGAACGCGGGGAATGTACTCACCTAATTGTGCTTGCGGGGGTTGAGCTCTGGCTCTTTGGTCCCGCCTCTCAACCGTCAATCAACTGATGTGCAGATTCCTGAGCCTATTGGGCTCTATCATATCTACATTTGAAACTGTGTATGGAGTCAGCCTCCACTACATCACTGCCTAATGCATTCCATCTCTTAACTACTCTGACACTGAAAAAGTTCTTTTTAACGTACCTGTGACTCATTTGGGTGTTACCGCTGAGCCACGGGGGATCTTAATTAAATTATTATGTACCCCCATCAGATGAACAGTAGTGGAAAAGGTTACATACATTTTATTTATTAACAAACTTAGGTATCTAAAGCAATGTGCTGCTACTTTATTATATACTAGCTGTACCCGGCCATGCGTTGCTGTGGCTCAGCTGAGCCACAGCAACCTTTCCCTGTCCCCCCAGTCCTCCCCACCATTCCCCCTCCCCCGTCCTCTCGTCCTACCAACCATTCCCACTCCCCCATCCTATCGTCCTCCCCACCATTCCCCCAACCCTTTGTTCTCCCCACCACCCCCACTCCACTATCCCCTCGTTCTTCCTACCAATTCCCCCCCCCCCCTCCTTCCCCTGTCCCCTCTTCCTCCCCACCATGCCCAACTCCCCTGTTGCTGATGTTCCCATCATGAAATTGGGAACATTCAATGATCTGATGTTCCCATCACTGAAAAATAAGAACAGTTAAAAATGAAATGAAGAACAATGAAAAAATAAATAAATAAACTATACTCACGAAATTAATTGTATGGTAAACAACACAGCTCAATTCCAACGCAATGTCACACAAAATAATTAAATCAAAATGAAAATAAATCGAAATCTATGAAAATTCAGTTTATCAGTGCAATCGGAAACATTGAAATGGAATCGTAACATATTTAGTATAGCGTGTGTTGCTCTTATGTGCAACAGATGGCGATGTTTAAAAAAAAAAAATGTTTTACCTGTCACATGTGTGGCATCTATATAGTAGGTATATAAAAACACGTGCGTATTCGAATGGAACGTTGCGTCAAAATTTCAAAGCAATCGGTAAAGAACTCTCGGAGATTACAGCGTGCAGTGCTCTTACATCCAACAGATGGCACTGTTTAAAAATAAAAAAAAATGTTTTTTTCATTGTCACAGGTGAGGTATGTATATGGTAGATATATAAAAACACGCGCCTATTCGAATGCAACGTTTTGTCAAAATTTCAAAGCAATCGGTAAAGAGGTTTCGAAAATTTCCCTCACGTGAAAAACATGAAAAACACAGTTTAAAAAAAGCATGTTTTTTTTCCGTCACAGACGTGATATCTATATATTATGTATATAAAACCCCGCTCGGATGCGAATGGAACGTTGTGTCAAACTTTCAAAGCAATCGGTGAAGAACTTTCGGAGATTAGCGATTTTGAACAAACGAACATTTACATTTTCATTTGTAATAGATGAAGGATTACAGACGAGGACCGGTTGGATTTGGCATTTACGGATTTGGAGGTTAGGCAGTTCCATGGGTTTATAACCCTGTGGGTGTAAAAACATCTGTTTTCTGTCCTGCTCTTTGTTTGTTACATCTGATATTGTGAAGAAGTTGTCTGGATCCAAAATTGTTGGATCCAAAATTATATCTTCCAAATTGTTCAATATTTTAAAAGTTTCAGCGAAATAAGCCCTTTAATGTAGAGCATTTCTAGTTTGGTTAAGTCGCACTCTTGGAATATCAAATAGATATTTGTTTCTAGTGTGGTGTCCATAGGTTCTGTTACAACCTTCTAGAAAGTGTTTAAGGCCAGGATTGGCATTACAGTTCAGAGTTTTATATATATAGTACACCTGAGATGATGTGCAGTGACTTAATATCTAACATATTCAAGAATTTAAGTAAGGGGGACGAGTACTGTCTGGATCCATAGTTTGTTATTGTTCTAATAGCAGATTTGTGTTGGGTAATTAGAGGACGTAAATGATTTTGGGAAGTAGAACCCCCAGATACCATAATGGAGGTAAGAATAGATGAGAGTTTCCAAAATATTTTCCAAAATACCAAATAACAAAATAATCCATTTTCGTATTCCCAATTTTTAATGATATACCATCCCAATTTTGGTAGTGGTGACCATCAGATGTTATAGCTCTGTATGAGAAACAATTCTGCGAGAGGTTGATAGTTGTTGGTTGGTCAATAAGCCATTGAAGTGGACTTAATAATTAACCCTCCCGCGGTTAAAGACCTTAACCTATCACCAAATGAAAGCTAGCCAAGGGCAAGGGAGTCGGCTGTCACACATCTATACTAGCTCGAATTGTTTTCTGTATTAGTGACTTTATACAATTTACAATGAGTACATACGAATACTCCACACTATTATGTTTCAACTGTACTTATAAATAAAAATGATTACAACCAGAACCCCTAATGGCCGTCTGCTAAGTACTTCACAGGACTAGAGAATTTGTGAGTAATATTTTATTAGTCATAAATCCATGCCTAACTTAAATTATTCGTGTGAATTTAGGTTAGTTTATTTATTATGCACCCCATACCCATCTTGTGGGAGGTAGTGGAAAGGGTTACAGAGGCACATAATGGGCTCAGGGACTGAACCCCATAATTCATTTAGCTAAGCAAGTTACAGTCTTGATGAGCTAGTTACAAAATTCAATGCACATCGTCACATCATCAATGGGCTCGAGGCTGACCACAAGTACTGGTAGAACAGGTTGTGCATGTGCAGTATATAAAGGGAATGAAATAATCATGTCTAGTACACAGAGATTGAACGACTGGGCAACCACGACACAGACTGAACTATTGGGTATTTATCTAGCCACTGAGTACCTTAAGCTCAATGGTCGTGGAGTGATGACTCCAAACTCTTGTCTCTAAAAGTTGTGACTCTAAAAGTGCTCTGCAGTCCTTAAAAAACCCATCACAATTTATGTCTGAAGTAGCTTGTAATATTATATGGAATGGAATTTTTGCCAATGATGATAATAACTATTGTATAACATTTGTGTGGATCCCATCCCATGTTGGAGTTGGATGGCTTTGTAGCTCGATTGGCCAATAAGGCTTGCAGGAAAGAAAACCCTGATAATGACTTTGGACTATCTAATGCAATTATTAGAAATATACAAATTAAAGAAATTAATTCAGATTTAGAAGAACTAAGAAATGCCAAGAGACCTGAAAGCTCCAGTATTAAAAGCTATGACACCTTTTGTAATAATAGGTATTTGTATGGTCAACACAGTAACCGGACCAGGCAATGTGATGTAGTCATTGCGAGAATTCGACTTTGCTATAGACACATCTGGCAGGTTAGTGAGGCTGAGCCACTACCAGAATATTCAGATTGTAAACTGTGATAAACCTTTAATACATTCACTAGAACACTATATTGTTGAATGTGAAAACCGTAAAAGATTTTAGACCTCCTGGCTTAACTACCATACTAACTATCGGCCTGTACCACTAACTATGTAACAATTTCATTGAATCTGGCGGACGACATCCTAGCAATTTATCCAAAATTTGCTTGTCCATTTTAAAGAATGAAGAACAATTTT